AGATCTTGTAAAAGATATCGTAGCCATTGTAGCTCACATGTAGCTACTGCCATTGCCATATACTTGGCTTCTGATGAGGACCTAGATACAAGGGGCTGTTTTTTGATTTTCCATGAAATTGGACTTGTTCCGAGAAACACACAATAACCTGTTGTTGATCTTCTTGTCATAGGGCAACTTGCCCAGTTTGAGTCACATAAAGCTCACAATTTTAATTCATTATGATAGGATAACAGAATACTTGGACCAAGTGATCCCTTTAAGTAATGAACTAAACGTGTGGCAGCTTTCATATGTGGTTGGAGTGGTTGGTGCATGAATTGGCTGAGGATATTAACTGCAAAAAGAATACATGGTCTTGTAACAGTTAGATAAATAAGTCTTCCAATCAAGCGACGGTATGAGGCTGGATTATTAAGTAGATTGCCATCAATATTGTCGGGCATTAGATTTTCTTCCATGGGAAAAGGCTCAGATTTAGCTCCCAATAAACTTGTGTCTTTGATAATATCCAAAGCATATTGTCGTTGGTTCAAACAAGTGCCTCTTCGTGATCTTGACACCTCAAGCCCAAGGAAATATTTTAGATTGCCTAAGTATTTTAGCTTGAATCGCTGATGTAGGAAGTTCTTAAGCTTGGAAATCTCATTTGCATCTGAACCTGTGATAATTACATCATTGACATACACTAGTATAAACACTGAGGAGGTACCTTTGTTTATAAAACAGAGAGTAGTCGGCTTTGGATTGAATGTAACCAGTGTTAAAAATGGCCTGTGAAAATTTGGCAAACCATTGCCTAAAAGCCTGCTTAAGTCCATAGAGCGATTTATGTAACTTGTAAACAAGATTCTCCCCCTTACGGATATAACCAGGTGGAGGCTGCATATAGACGTCTTCATGTAAGTCATCATGCAAAAAAGCATTGTTGACATCTAATTGATGAAGGGTCCAATCCTTGGAGGCTGTAATTGTAAGGAGAACCCGAACAGTGAACAATTTTGCAACGGGAAAGAGTTTCTTTGTAATCAACACCCTCGAGTTGAGTGTAACCTTTAGCAACTAGGTGAGCCTTAAATCGCGTAATAGTACCATCCGAATTTCGTTTGACTTTGTATACCCATTTACAACCAATGAGGTGTTTGTTGGCAGGGAGAGAAACAAGTGACCAAGTGGAATTTGATTTGAGAGAGTAGAGTTCATCATGCATAGCATCACACCAAGTGGAATTTGATTCGAGAGCATGGAGTTCCTCTACAGTAGAGATATATGCTAAAAAAACATTGTGAGGGTGAGAAATATTAGAATAAGTGAGGTAATGAGAGATAATGTAACGGGTACCTTTGTTAACCATAGGAGAAGAAGATGGATTGACAGGGGCATTGTAACAGTGGTAGTCGAGGAGCTTGATGGGTGGTCGATGTATACGTGCAAGATCAACTACTGGAGAAGTCGGCGAATGAATGGGAGGATTAGTGGTTGGATGGGCAGGTGGTGTCGTGTTATTGTTCATAGTCAATGGTGTTATAATATGTGATGGGGTGGAATGATTATTAATTTCAGATATAGAGAAATGAGGTGTTGTATTGTTAGGAATAGAAGTTGATGAAGAGGGTGAATATGTGAAATCATGTTATTGGCATGTAGATGTAGCCTAGAGGTGTCAAACGGGACGGGCCGGTCCAGCACGGCACAAGCCCAACCCGTTTAAATGAGGCACGACACGGCACAAGCACGAATATTAATGGGTCGTGCTCGGCACAGCAAGAAAACTTGGGCTGGGCCGGGATCAAAAAATAGGTCCAATGGATCGGGCCGGCCCATGGCTCGATATGGGCCGGGCTTGGCCCGAGCTCACTTCAAGCACGGCACGAGCCCAAGCTCGGCCCATTTAGCTTTTTTTTTTCCTTCTCAAAAAAGTCAAAATGCAATAATTTGACATCTAATGTCATTGTTTATATGTTTTTTTTTAATAATTATAAACATATATTTGATGTCTTTCATTTTAGGGAAATTACTTGGATTCTTAATTAATTAAACATATCAACTACAAATTAATTAAACAACATTGGACTTGATATCTAATCAATACATATGACATATACGCTTCTCTTATAATCAAAGCAAGACATTTCTTCACATATAAAATTACAAGTTGTTTAAAGATGAAAAGTTGAAGAGGACTTTGTGGAGTTGGACACTTTTTGCCCTCCGCCCCTTCATATTGTTTGGATGTTTGATTGATTAATGTTTTCAAATAGTTCATCATTTATTGCCTCTAATTATATTCTCAAAGTTTATAATTTGAATTATCTAGTGGAAAAAAAAATCAAGTGAAAAAAATTCAAATTAAATGGGTTGGTTCTTGGCCCCGAGTATGGCACGAGCACGAGCACGGGCACAGCATGAGCCCAGCCCGGCCCGTTTCAATATGAACATGGGCTTTGGGCCGGGCTGGGATCAATGATTTTATTAAATGGGCCAGCACGGCATGACCTGGTAAATTGAATGGGCCGGCCCTACACGACACGAAAATGTTAAAAGCACGAGTTTAAATGGGACAGGCCGGCCCGACACAGCCCGTTTGACACCTCTAGATGTAGGAGTGGGTGCAGCGAAAGGAAAAGATGTAGGTGGTTCAATGTTATATCTTTTTTTCGGTAATTAAAATAAATTGAAGTGAAGGAAAAACTCCGTGTTCCCTTTAGTGATATTTGGTTGTATCAGTGTTTTAAGCCCAAGCCCAACAAGCCCAATCGAAAGCCCAGCTCTCCTTTTTTCATCGACCTATAAATACAATTTTTCTTCTCAAACCCTAGGCCTAACAGGAGCCGCCTCTCATTCCAAGCCCCCTCTCGCTCACCCACCTTCTCTTCTTCCTCAATCCTCATCTCTTTGTTGGCTTCCTCACAGATGCCGAGAAGAAGGCCTCTCATTCCTAGCCCCTTTCTCGCTCACCCACCTTCTCTCTTCTTCCTCAATCCTTTTTTTTAAATTTAAAATAAAAAATTTGAAAAGGCACATGCCTCATGAAAAAAGCGCATGCTTTGAAGAAAAGCGTATGCTTCAGGGATAAGCTTGTTGTGCAAAAGTCAAGGCTCTCAATGGCTTGAAGCACCATCGCCTTGCTCTAAAGCGGCCCTCAAGGCGCTTCTGAGGCGCAGTTTTAAAAACATTGATTTTTATCATTGGGGAGTTTCTAAGATTTTTTTTTCATGATTTTACTATTGATCATTCTTGTACGAATGCATTTCACAGTATGACAATATAAATATTTAGCGCTACTCTTTATAGTGATAAATGAATTTATCATACAAAAGTAAAGGACTATTACCTTGCTTAATTACCAGCAAATTAAGGGCAATTCTTCTGGTTTGGGGGGATCAAGACCCACATAACATGCAAGCGTACCCTTCCAGTTAATTTCTGAAGACTGGTACAAATCATTATTATTGGACATATAAAACACCTTCTTCCCCAAACTCCCTTGAATAAAATCCTTTCTTAAGCTCAGTCTCCTGCTCATGGAACTCACGTATCCAATGGATCATCCTATCCAAAACATTAACAGCAATCTCATGATTTACAATCTGAAAGAAACCCCATTTCTCACTTGCATCTCTAACTTGAAGGAAGTTGAGGTTCCAACTCAAAATCAATTGGCAATGGGGGAGTAGCCCAACTCCTTATAAATCTTTGCAAGGTTTTCTAACTTTTTAGTGTGAGACTTTTTACCTTCACATTCTCATACGCCCCCGTATGTGTGGCGAATTTTCAAACCTAACACATGAATAACACATATTAGGTGACGTGGAGCACCTGTGGCCGTTGGACTTTCACATGCGGCCTAACCCACTCTGATATCATTAAAAAAGTTGAGGTTCCACCCCAAAACCAATTAGCAATGGGGGAAGTAGACAAACTCCTTATAAACAGTCCCTATTAGGTTTCTCAACTTTCTAATATGGAAAAATTCACCTTCACATTCTCACACAACTCCCCCGATGACTTCAGCCAGCGCGTAAAACTGCATCGTTTTGGGAGATGCCTTGAGATCAATAATTGGGATACTGAACTGGGCATGATCACTTGCCTCCGTCTCATGTTGTGATGCAGAGTAGAAAATACGTGGGATTTTTGTATCGAGCAATCCCTTGACACCACCAGCTTTTGTATCCTCGAATGGTTTTAACTCACTTGCGCGGTCGCTGTAAGTAGCCCAGTTGCAAGTTCATTCTGCGCTTATTGTGGCCTCCATTTTCTCTATAAAACTTTTTTGAAGTCAACGTGAGGATCAACCAGATTATAGAGAAAGCTCTACAGTAATTGTTGAACACCCAGAGGTTACTGTTAATTAAACAATAATCGAATGCCTTGTTTGTTGTTGGGCCTGGAACCTTTATGTTTTGTTTGGGTTTTTATTTTGTTTTAGTTGATCCCTGGATTTTATGCTGAATTTGTAATTGGACTCCCATGATTAGTCGTATGCTCTTTAATTTGGTTATGAAAATTTTCATTTCCTTTCACTGAAAAATAAAATAAAATCCTTAGTCCACTTTACAAATATCTTAATGAACCTTGGCATGACCAAATGACAGCGACTGTAGTTCCAAGGTTTTGAGTGCGACATTATCAAACTAATATAAAGTGAAGCTAATGTTTGGTGAAACAGAACAATCCAAAAGCGACTGAAGTTTTAAGGTTGTAAGGTTTTGAGTGCGATATTACTGAGTTAATATAAAGTGAAGTCAATGTTTGGTGAAAAAAAATAATCCGAAACGGGATCTAAGTTAGCGTCAAAAGCATATGCATTAATTATATTTCAATAAAATGAAATTTTTTATTTTTTTGGGTATGCTAATCTAAGAGTCAATATACAATCATCATGAAATGGACTTTTGTTTTATAAGCAATTTTTATGCGGTAACTTTCCCTATCAACCAAATCACAAATTACTAGATAGTTGTGCTATGGCATCAACTTCACGACTGACGACTGTATTTATTTTTCTTGAAGAAGTACTTTTATTAGCTAATAACAAGGATTATTGACAGACAATTTGAGACCCTCGGAGAGGATTATTGACTCAAAATACAGAATCACCACCAACCAACAACAAAACTAAAACACAGATAAGAGGTCCAAACAAATGGACCCCACATCCTGCATAACCCTTTTCATCCCTTCATAGCTTGAAATGTTCTAATGCGGAGTTCCCTTTTACGAGTTCTGAGAGGTAGTACTTCAGATAATCTTTAACACTAGTTTCTCGATAGATTTGAGGATTTTCTTCTGACAACAACTCCTTGATTGGTCCATAAACTTTTGGATTTTCTGCATGTGGTCTAAAAAAGGTTGGCACAGAGACTCTTGGGCCCACACTCTGCGCTAGAACTCTGTGGTTAACACTAATAAACTTGTCATTTGAGATGAGCTGCACAAAAACAACGCAAAGTTATAATTTGGTATTGATAGATTTAGTACAATGAAAAGTTGGCTATATATATAATTATAATAATGAACTTGCCTGCAGAAGATCTCCAACGTTGACAACAAGAGCTCCATGCGTGGGAGGAACATCAATCCATTGATTCTCATACAAAACTTGGAGGCCACCCACTTGATCTTGTAAGAGTAGGGTGATGAAGCTGCCATCAGTGTGCTTGTTGGTGCCCATAGTCAATTTTGTTTCAGGACATGGTGGATAGTAGTGACCCATAATAGAAAGCCCCTCAGCACAATCCATGTACGCGTCTTTAAGTTGGTTTGGATTGAGCCCAAGAGCCTCAGAAAGCAACTCAAACAAAGTAAATCCCAAATCCATCACTAGCTTTGAGTACTCATTCACTATATCTCTGCAACTCGAAGTCATCAAGTTCACTCATGAATTTCATTTACCGAATGATGAAAGTAATGGTTAAAGACTGAAAGGGGTAAATTATAAACTAACCATGCAGGAATAAAGTCATGTACAGATTTTAGTTTATGTATAAAAAAGGATCAACTTCCTTGAAGTTATGTATTATAAGGAAATAAATTTTCTCATGAAATCTATTATCTTGCATGTAATGACCGGGTAAACGTAAATTTTTTGATGTACGAAAATTTGTCCAACACTAAATGCATGGTAAGACTAGACTGTATAAAATGTTACATATATAAAAATTTAATTAATTTGTGGTGCCATGTATACCTGCACACTGAGGGTAATTCGTCTGCTGGTTTGGTTGGATCAGGAGCCATATAGCACACAAACGTATCCCTCGAGTTTCCTTGTGAAGATTTGAAAAAGCGATTATTGGACATATACTGCTCCTTGTTCCCAGCATCCTTTGAACACAACTGTTTCTTAAGATCACTATCCTGCTCATGGAACTCACGTATTCCATGCAGCATCCTATCCAAAATTTCAACAGGAATTCCGTTTTGAACTTGAAAGAAACCCCATTTCTCACATGCATCTCGAATTTGCTCGACGATTTCAGTGCGTAAAACTGAGTTGCTATGGATGCCTTTAAGGTCAATGGTTGGGATACTGAGCTGGGAAACACTTCCCTGCCTCTCATCTGCTCTTGTTGTGGCCATCATTTTCTTTTTTTGGTTTTGGATTAAACAACGTACGTGATTAACAAGTAAAAGCCTTTCGCTGGTTAGAAAATACAAGCAGAAGAGGAAGAATATAAGGCAGTTTGTAAGAGGAGCTAATTAGTGCTTTGTTTAACAATGTACAGCAATATATATATACCCTGCACCGGAATTCCCAAATAATAAAAAATGGTGATTCAGATTTAGACCCTTTCAACTTAAAAAATGGTCATTCAAGGCTGCCCGCGGCAGCCTCTTTTGCGAGTGGACGAACAGGGAGGTTCTTCTGTGGGACGCCCCAGGTTTTCAATATTCTTACTGTAGATGAAATTCTTATCTTTTGACAACAAAATATTAAAAAATTAAAAAAGTCTAGACACAAATCCTCCTTACCACTAGAAACCCACCACCAATATAACCACTACCAAACGTTAAATTGTCTGTTTAAATCCATTATAGTTTTAGATTAGCTAAACAAGAAATTTTACAAATTCTAGAACATTAATTTCCATATATCATTTATAAATGTCCTCATTCAAAATTTTAACTATAATCATACTCTCTAATTTAGGGAGTCATAAAAGCTTTAATTTATATATATATATATATAAATACAAGCGATCAATATTGGCATAGACCTAGGGGAGATTCAAACAAAAGATGTCGGATGTAGATGTAACTGCTCTTAAACACTTGAGCTATAAGCCTTTGCAACCAATTAATATTGTGTTACAACTGAGGGGACGTTTCTTTTTTAATTGATCATAATTGCTCCCTATCTACATAAAGTGATATAATAACAAATAATAGCCAATATTAAATAAATGTATAAATTATTAAAATAAAGCAATATTAATTATATGGAGACACTAAGAGCTCCCAGTCTTTATATTTTAGAATGTAAATAGGAAGCATCTTTGAAGTTGTAGTTTAGGAAACCTATTTGTAAATGCTTTAAGACTTGGGAGATTCACTATTATACCCAATATAGGAGCCCAAATTATATTAAAAAAAACCTATATTAAATGGACTTTAGAATCACACCCAAAGCCCATTTACAACATAACAAAAATGCTTTTAACTTCTTTTAAATTACAAAACTGCCATTAATTTCTTAAAACAAACCCAACCCCAAAGCCTCATAAAAAAGCCCAAAACACTCAATAGGGTATCAAAGTAATTTAATAATCAAAATTAAATTCAATAGGGTCAGCTATCATTTTTTGGGTTTTTTTTTGGTTTGTTTATAGAAATTAAATGGTATAGGGTTTATTTATAGTTTCAATGCTAAGAAAGGGTATATTACTAAATAGGGTTAATTACTGTAACCGTCCTTGAACTATGGCCTTGACCATGTGAATGGCACGTGCTCTTGTTGTGAGGGGTATATTGGAGTTTTCACGATGGTCAGCTCTGTGTCTTGTTGTAAACCTCACGATGGCCAGCTTCATTTGCAGATCGGATGGTGCGCAACCTCATAGTAAACATTCATTTGCAGATTGGGGTTCTTTAACCTCCTTTTCTAATTAAAAAGAAAAAAAAATCCAAATTTTGATTTTGAATAATGGGTTTTTTTTTTTCTCACCAAAAAACCCAACAAAATCAACTTGTTGTTCACCACATCCAGCAGCCTCTGGCAGCCCTCCGGGATGAACGCCTCCACGTACAGCGATAGCCCCGTCTGCAACACGCACAGCCCCTACAGGCACATGGCCGCCCCCAATCCCACATCCGCCACAAACAACCTCGGCTGGCATGCCAACACCATGCATAGCCCTAACGCCACCGCCGAGATCCGACCCGACACCGAGTCACACTTGGCTTGCAAAACTAGAAGCTTTGTGGTTGGGGACCTAAAACCCTCACATCACCACCGAAATCTCACCAACCCAAAACAATTTCACAGTCACTTACCTCATAAACTCATGTGGGTTGTCCCCAGAAGATGCAATTTCAGGGTGGTCAAGTTGAAATCCCCAGACATAGCAGACTCTGTTTTGGCCTTTCTGAGAAGCCATGGCCTCTCTCAACCCCAAATCTCAAAGGTTGTCATGTGTTGCCCAAGAGTTTATGGTTATTTGAGATCTGAAATTGTAGCCATTATGGGTGTATTTGATTTGGTTGAAAGTATAAAGTTTCAGCTATTTGGGGCTGAGATTTGATGTGGGTATTGAAATTTCAAGTTTGATATTTGTTGGGTAATTGATTTTCTGGACGTTATAGATGAAGATTGAGATGGGTTTAGGAGGTGGGGGTTGGGTTGCGAGAGAGAGGGAGAGAGAGGGAAAGAGAGAGGGATTCTTATTTTTATTATATATTTTTAAGTTTATTTTTTTAATTTATTTATTTTTTCACTTTTTTTAGTTTTTCTCTTCAGACTCGAAAGGATGCTTTTACCCCTCATTTTGACGGACAAATTGACAGAGTTGGACGGCAGGACCTAATTGCAACTTATTGTCTAATTAAAGGATGTCATTGCCACAAAAATTAGTTCACAGACCCAATTGCAACTGGGGACATAGTTCAAGGACGTCTACAGTAATTAACCCTACTAAATATCTCTTAAGACTTTCCCTTTTAACTTATTTAACTCATATTTTAATGGGCATTCTATTCATATATTTCTTGGTCTTTCTTTTATCACAAGTGATCCTAAACTTTTTAAAAGTTCTCATTTTAGTCATCAAACTCCCAAATCAGTCAATGTGGTCCTTCATATTTTGGCCTGCACATCAATTTGGTCTCTGTTGTTGCATTTTGACAAAACTTCCGTTAAAATTCACATGTCATTGGGAGACTCAATTTAAAGGTATGTTGTCATCTAAATATAGGTCATTTTAGCCTCTTTTTGTACAAAACGATTCTAAACCAATTTAATGTATGGAGAGGGGGATCGAACTTGGGTGCAAGAGGGCGTCAACATTGCCTTAGGCAACTGGCCTAATCCACATTTACATATATGTCATTTTAGCCCTCAAACTCACATTTTTGCTTCACAAGGCCATATTCTCTACAATTAGGGTACCACATTGGGATTCATCAAGGAGAGCATATAGCATTGTTGAGCAAAATATGTGAGATTTACTTTGTTTCATCAGTAGATAGGTTGTATTTTATGTAATACCCCTTCAAAGTTGGTCAGATGATAAAATTTATCGGAGACTTTAAATTAGAGAGACCAAACTAATGTGTGGACCAACAGATTAAAGATCACACTGATTGATTTGAAAGTTTGAGGACTCAAATGAGGACTTGTGAAAAGTTCATAGACCAGTATAGGTTTGACAATTCAACTGCATTCATACTAATTTACCTAGATTGTATAGGTAAATCATTTACATATAGTTTGTATTAGGGAGCTATAGAGATTAAGAATTATAATGTTTTTTTGGTTGAATTGAACAAATTAATTTCAAACCATGAAATTATGAAATTTGAAAATAGGATAAAAATCGACAAACTTGACCCACTAATTTCAACTTTAAAACAATTAAATAACTACGTAGTCGAATTTGTACATCCCAAAACATATGTCATCACGAATACCAACTGAGTACATCCAACAAACATATGTCATCCCGAACTGGAAGCCTCAACTTTCTAAAACTTCAAATCTTCAAGTTTGGACCAGGAAACCTCCCTTTGGCAAATTACAGATCATTTTCCATTTCAGTGGCCGGCATGAATGACTGACCAATTAATTCCACAGCCATCTTCACACATAAGAGATGAGCTACGTTCAAGTTATTACTACTAGCTAGCACGAAACAAAATCTTGGTATATAATAAATGACACTTTGTTATTGTTATTTGCTGATTAATTAGCCATCGTCAGAGGAAGACCCACGTTGGGGAAAACGGCGGGGTCAATTCATCCCTTTGGATAACACCTCAAATTAGTGTGCTGAGTCCTAAGTTTGACGTGTTGAATCCTCGAGAAGCGAACGCCACCTCCGCACTATACCTCAAAAGTCAGTCATCTTGACCACTTGGTGCTGGAACGCCCGCCACCTGTTTGTGGAAAACTCTGAATGAAGGCCAGCAAGGCAGCAAATCTTTATCGTTTTGGCCAGGTTTAAATTTTTTATTCTTTTTAAACAGACGGAAGCGGCAGCCCCGCTTCCATTCCATTCCAACGCCACAACGGCCAGCAGCACCACCCAGTCAAAAGGAAACACTAAAATATATAGGCAAATATTAAATATATAAATGACGCTATATTATTATAATATAAAAAATATATAGCGTCAGTGACTTTTTAAATTAATAAAAAAATGTTCTTCCATTCATAAATTATGAATGATAATAGCATTATTTCATTGCTATGGGTGGTTTTCTTTTCTAGTTTTATTTGACAGGTGTTTTTAGAACTTTTACACGGCAACCTTCGGAAGAAAATTCATAGATTCGCAACTAAAGATAACAAATGAACTTGAAGACTGTATGTTAGCACTGATTATTTAAATTTTCAGGTTTTTTTTCAAAGGAATTAGGGGGTGGAAATCGAATGTAGCACCTCTTATAGTATTAGAAAGAAAAATATTATTTTGAGATTTTTATGTTAATTATGATTTGATTATTTCAAGGTATATCTCTTTCATCAAGATTGTTTTTAAGTTAAGTTAATGATAATACGAAAGACAATTAAACGATTAGCCAAAGAGAATCAAAGTCTGAAATCCACCAGAATTTAGAAAATTTCAAATTTATTGAATGATAATAGGAATAACAACCCCAAACAACTTAGCCAGAGTTTGTTGAAATACTACCTCAAGTTATTAGAAACCCTAGGAATCTAAAAAGGAAAAAAAAGAAGAAGAAGGAAAATTCAAAAAATTAGCTCAAAAACTAAAATGTTTTTTTGGGCTACTAATTAAGCGACGTCAAACGCTCGAAAAAGATGGAAAAGCGATGAATTTTACTTGTGATGTTCTCTTCGAAACGATGGGTCATGGGCCCGATTATGAGCTCGGGGCCTAAACCTACAGCTTCGCGATTGTCTCCTTGTGCACACGACGCTCCAACTTATCTTCAAATGCTTTTGCCATATGTTCTACATCATATATTCAGTTGAGATTTTAATAGATTTTAGATGAGCTTAAGTTTGA